TGTTCTAGTTCAATTTCTTCAACTATTTAAAAAGCTGATAGGACTCAAGGAACCAAAATTGTATCTGATGGCCTCAAGGGTTATGTTTGAAGGCTTGCTGATTTGCAGAAAACTCAAGCTGACTGTTCAAGATGTTCAGGGCAAAAACTGCCTAGCTTCCATGCATGGGTCTTACCCATGACAAAATGTGTTCTGTGATTTAAAAATGGCAGACCACCTGGGCAGATCACTTGAGGTCAGGAGTTCGAGACCAGCCTGGACAACATGACGAAATCCTGTCTTTACAAAAAATACAAAAATTAGCTGGGCGTGGTGGTACATGCCTATAGTCCCAGCTACTCGGGAGGCTGAGGAGCAGGAGAATCGCTTGGACCCAGGACGCGGAGGTTGCAGTGAGCTGAGGTCATGCCACTGCATTCTAGCCTGAGTGACAGCGAGACACTGGCTCAAAAAAAAAAAAAAAAAAAGGGGCAGACCATGATTGAAGCTCATGTTGATGTCTAGACTACCAATGGTTAAAGAAAACCTCAGCACTAACAGTTCTAAGATAATGGAAATTATGACCCAAGAGATGCAGACAAGTAACTTGAAAGAAGTGGTGGAGAAAATTATTCCAAACAGCATTGGAGAAGACACAGAAAGGCCTGCAAATCTATTTATCCCCTCCGTGATGTCTCTGTTAGAAAAGTGAAAATGCTGAAAACACTCAGGTTTGCATTGGGAAACGTAGGGCAGGTTTGCATTGGGAAACGTAGGGAGCTTTTATGGTGAAGACAGCAATTCTGGAAAAGCTACTGGGATGAGACAGGTGCTACAGCGAAAAGTCCTATTTATGATGAAAAAAGTTTATATACGAAAGTTGTATTTAAAAAACGTATACAGCCAGGCGCGGTGGCTGACGCCTGTAATCCCAGCACTTTGGGAGGCCAAGGCGGGTGGATCACGAGGTCAGGAGATCGAGACCATCCTGGCTAACATGGTGAAACCTCGTCTCTACTAAAAAATACAAAAAATTAGCCAGGCGTGGTGGTGGGCGCCTGTAGTCCCAGCTTCTTGGGAGGCTGAGGTAGGAGAATGGTGTGAACCCAGGAACCAGAGCTTGCAGTGAGCCGAGATTGCGCCATAGCACACAGCACTCTAGCCTGGGCGACTGAGCAAGACTCCATCTCAAAAAAAAAAAAAAAAAAAAAAAAAAAAAGTTATAAAACAAAAAAGTTTTATAACAGGCACTTCACAAAAGAGAAAAATAAGCATGAAAAGGTGTTTGATCCCATTAGTAATCAAAAAGCACAAATTACAACTACAATGAGACACCACTGGACAAGCATCAGAATGGCTAAAATTAACAGTGACCACGAGGATGTGGAGAACCTCAAACATGCGCACGAATGTGAACTGCTCCCTCTTTAGAAAACAGTCTGGCATTTATCCAGTAAAAATCAAAGACACTCACACCTCGGGACGCAGCAGTGACGCCTTTTTTAGGCAATGCAATGCCAAAAATGAAAGTTCATTTTGAGGGAAAGTAATAAAGCGAGATGAACAAAGTCTCTCATTGCATCTTACCACATTTTTCATTTCCCTTCATATTTCAGGGGCTTTGAATTCCTTCGAAAGTCGGAAGAATATGCACACCTGCATGCAGAGTTTCCAGTCTTATTTTCTTTTTTGAAGGAAACAGGGTCTCACTACGTTGCCCTGGCTGGCCTTGAACTCCTGAGTTCAAGAGATTCTCCTTGCTCAGCCTCCCCAGTAGCTGGGACCACAGGCACAAAGTTTAGAGTGTTCCCTGATGTTCTGACAGCTACCTCTGGATCCTGGTATCCAGGGATTCCTATCTTAAAGGTACAGAGCTACAGGAGCTAAAGCAGTGCACTCAAGCTATTCAACAGGTCCTCGTGGAACTGGTAAGGAAGGTTACCCCACTTCCAGAAAGAATACATTTATCCATTTTATACTCTCCTGCAGGTGGAGTCTAGGGTCACCCTGAACACATGATCCATCTATAGATGCCCCTTGTCCTCAGTGAATAGCATTAGAGGCCTCCCAAACAGATTCGCTCAGAGAGGCAGAATTCCAAACTCAGGTATATGTCTCAGTGTAAATTCATAAACTGGCATTTATTAAATGGACTTATTAAAACCAAAAATAAGTGGAGAATGATTAGCAAGAGCTATCAAGTCCAAAACAATTATTTTGTGGCTGAGAACACTAAGGACAGTGTGAGATAAATCCACTGATCAAACTGACCAGTAGATCTCAGACCAGAACCTAAGACTCCTGCCTCCCAAGCCAGGAGTGTCTCCCTTTTACCTATCAGCTCTCCCTCTGGCCACCCATCCATTTTCCAGGGCAGCTCCCTCAATGCCAATATTCCCTGTCCCTGGGTCTCCCAATGACTGCAGATCTTATAAAGGTTAACCAGGCAGTCCCAGGTTAATTGGGAGTAGGACTGACAACATAGAGCCCTAGCCCAGGGAAACAGAAGGAAGGTAGGGAAGTGCAGAGAGGAAGCCCTTGTAGCAAGAGCAGTTTAGTCATCAAAACAAAACAAAGCTGGCCAGTGTGGTGGCTCACACCTGTAATCCTAGTGCTTTGGGAGGCTGAGGTGGGTGACTGCTTGAGTCCAGGAGTTCAAGACTAGCCTGGGCATCACAGTGAGACCCTGTCTCTACAAAAATATTAAAAAATCACCACCACCACCCCACCCAAATTTAGCAGGGTATGGTGGCACGCACCTGTAGCCTCAGCTACTCAGGAGGATAATGTGGGAGAATCACTTAAGCTCAGGCGTTGGAGGCTGCATTTGTAAGGTATGATCATGCCACTGCTCTCTAGCCTGGGCAACACAGTGAGACCCTGTTTTTTTTTTTTTTTTTTTTTTTTTTTTGAGACAGAGTCTTGCTCTGTCATCCAGGCTGGAGTGCAGTGGCGTGATCTCAGCTCACTGCAACCTTTGCCTCCTGGGTTCAAGCAATTCTCCTGCCTCACCCTCCCGAGTACCTGGGATTACAGGTGTGCATCATCACGCCTGGCTAAGTTTTGTATTTTGTTTGTTTGTTTTGTTTTTTTTTTTTGAGATGGAATCTCACTCTGTCGCCTGGGCTGGAGTGCAGTGGCGTGATCTTGGCTCACTGCAACCTCCGCTTCCTGAGTTCAACCAATTTTCCTACCTCAGTCTCCCGAGCAGCTGGGATTACAGGTGCCCGCCATAATCCTTGTATTTTTAGTAGAGATGGGGTTTCACCATGTTGGCTAGGCTGATCTCAAACTCCCGACCTTGTGGCCCGCCCACCTCGGCCTTCCAAAGTGCTGGGATTACAGGCGTGAGCCACCCCACCCAGTCTGAGATCCTGTTTCTAAAGCAAAAGAAAACACAAGTGTGAAAGGGGAAATGATGTTGGTTTGTCAGCCAACAAAAGTCAATCAGTAATTGTCTTCTTGTGGTCAGAATCCTAGCTCTCTCCTCAGGGTCCGGCAGAAAGAAGGCCAAGAAGAATGGTGAACACAGAGTATTCAAGAAAAAAAAAAACTTTTGCAGACACCACTTTCCAGCTTTAATTAGCAACTGGTGAAACCAAGGTGTCAGCTGGGAAAAAGAAAAACAGGGAAAAAAAATCAGTGACTGTGCTATAGCTTTCAGTTAACATACCAAATTAGTTATCTTTCCAGAACTCCATGGAGTACATAGGGACGATAAGCAAAGTCATATGTGTATATGTACCTCAGAGAAAACACTAATGAGACCTAAGCAGAGACTACTTACAACTAAACCCACTGCTGCTTATCTCAGATGGTTTTCCATCCCTGCCCTTTTCTATGGATTGAAGTCTTGAAATTTCTCAGTACAATCCTATTCTGAAGTTCTCAGCACAGTTAAGAAGCAACACCTATGGTGTGTCCCTGTTCAGATACCCTGGCATTAGCCAGACAGGATAACCCAAACACCAGTGAGCCCAGGGCCAAGGCGAAGACTCAGCTACTAGCAGCCCCCACACCCTACAGTCCTCCTCAGCAGCACCTACCACCCCACTGCCAATGCTGTCAAGTGTGCCACTGCCCCCACCCCTGACCTGCAGCCCGAGCACACTGTCAGAAAACGCTCAAGTGGTATCTTCCAGAGGCAAACCTGCACTTAGGATGCTGACCAGACTCCCAGACCTGCATGTACCATGAAACAGGTCTACTAGAAATAGCTTCTCCATGTGTCCTCTGATCAGACAAGGCCTCCCTCCTGGCAGGCAGGACACGCAACACACACGTCCCCTGCAGTCTGCAACCGGTGCCATGGGACAGGGATACAGGCAGCCTCCTGGACTCCAGCCTCCCTGGCATCAGGACGCAGCAGGTATCAGGTGGCAATGCAGGGAGCCTGCATCCCCTGAGGCCATGCTCAACAGCAGGTGCTTTTAGAACTTGAGAGATTTCCCACTGGCAGTGCTGAGCCAACGTTCTTTCCTTTCAGGTGGGAGGGCATAAACTCGCAGTGACTGGGCACCATTCTAGGTGTCAGGCACTCAAACATGGCATCTCTTGTAAGATCTCTTACACCATGCCCTATTGACATGAGTGACCTGTCCCCATTTCATGGAAAGTGAATGAGGCTAAGTCACGTGCCCAAGGTCACACAGCTGGTGTAAACTGTGTAATCAGGGACTGAAGGCAGATGTGGGGGCCTTGAGATTTTCCCCAAACCACTTTTGTGCCCAGATGTGGCAAGGTCAGGTTACACAGACCTACTCCATAGGCAACAAGGTCATAACAAATTTTTCCTGAAACATTTTTCATTTTGGGCTCTCGTCACTGAATGCATGTACTTCTTTATTATTATTGTTGTTACAGTTTCTTTCTAAAAGCTCAATTCCACAAGATGCATGAACTTCTTTAGCATAAGCTATAACCTTGACCTGTATGTAGTCTGTGACCAAGGCTGTCAAATGCTGGCACTGGCCAGGGACCCACACCCAAGAAAGAGCCGACTCTCACACTCCAACACTTACCACAACAGAGTCATTGTGAGTCAGGTCAACAACCACGGGCTCTAAAGATTCACAGGTGAGGTCCACAATTTCATCTCCAGCTTCAAAAGAAAGTATTTCAACAAGCATTAAGAGGAAAATAAGGTTGTATCCCTCTACCCTTTAGTATGACTGCAAACGTAATATACGTTTACCCCAAACTAAAATAATCCTGAAGTACACACTGCAAAGAGCACCAGGACCAACACCTCCTTCAGGAGGGAAAGCCAGTAAACACCCTTCCAGAATTCTGCTCTGAGTGGGGATGTATGGTTTTTACAATGTACCTTGGCGGTTATATATGTGTGCACACGTGCACACCTCTATTCCATGGCATCCCACTTCCACACGGCTACGCCTCTGTGCCCCATCTGGGGGAAGGCACCATGCATGCCCAGCCCTGGGCCTTTCTCTTTGGGATGGACCAGCCTGAAACCTTTGCTCCTCCCAGTAGGGGAAGCAGACCACTCTCACCTGGCCTAAGGACCAAAAGTCAGGCTTAGTTTAGTAACTTCATTGGTTAATCTAGGGCAAACTCTTTTTTTTTTTTGGAGACAGAGTCTTGTTCTGTCGCCAAGGCTGGAGTGCAGTGGCGTCATCTCGGCTCACTGCAACCTCCGCATCCCAGCTTCAAGCAATTCTGTCTCAGCCTCCCAAGTAATTGGGATTACAGGCACCCGGCAGCATCCCTGGCTAAATTTTTTTGTATTTTTAGTAGAGAAGAGGTTTCACCATCTTGGCCAGGCTGGTCTTGAACTCCTGACCTTGTGATCCACCCGCCTCAGCCTCCCAAAGTGCTGGGATTACAGGCGTGAGCCACCATGCCTAGCCAAGGACAAACTTTTAATCTCCATTTATCTCCCAAGTGTCTCCCTACTTGGATGGAGAATAACAGTGATATTTACTGGTCCCTAGAACCTCAGCACACAAAATGGGTTGCATCTCTTGTGAAGCTTGCCTTTCAGCCCTTAGGGTATACTGTGATGTCTGTGTGAGCACAGGATGAAGGTGAGAAGGACATGGACCAAACAGTTAATGTACAACTTCCATTTATATAAAGTAAAAAATGACTCACAACCATTTTGTTTCTGATTACTATTAATATTTAAAAGCACTAAATGGGCCAGGCACAGTGGAACTCCTGACCTCAGGTGATCCACACGCCTCAGCCTCCCAAACTTAGCTGGCATTACAGGCACGAGCCACAGCGCCCAGCCTAACATAACTTCTCATAAATTTTTTTAGGTGGGGGTTTGCTGTTGCCCAGGCTAGAGTGCAGTGGCATGATCACAGCTCACTGCAGCCTCAATGTTCCAGGCTCAAGTGATCCTCTGATCTCAGCCTCTCACACTTGGCTAATTTTTTTTTTTGTAGAGATAGGGTCTTGCTATGTTGTCCAGGCTCGTCTGGAACTCCTGGGCTCAAGCAATCTGGCTGGCCTGTTTTATTTTCTTGTATCATAAAGTTTCACAGGAATAAAAACCATGATAACCTTAGATATACAATATAATTTATATAACATTATTGCATTCTTTATTAAAAAGAAGGGCTGCCCAACAGTCCATATACTGATATACAACAATTTATTGAACCATTCTCTTTCTGGTGAACACAATTCTGGGCTCTTACAAAAACAGTGCTCTAGGCCTGGCGCAGTGGCTCATGCTGATAATCCCAGCACTTTGGGAGGCCAAGGCAGGTGGACAATCTGAGGTCAGGAGTTTGAGACCAGCCTGGTTGACATGGTGAAACCCCATCTCTACTAAAAACACAAAAAAATTAGCCAGGTGTGGTGGTGGGCACCTGTGATCCCAGCTACTTGGGAAGCTGAGGCAGGAGACTTGCTTAAACCTGGGAGGCAGAGGTTGCAGTGAGCCGAGATCGCACCATTGCACTCCAACCTGGGTGACAGAGTGAAACTCCGTCTCAAACAAAAAGAAAAACAAAACAGTGCTCTAATGGGTGGCCCTAAGCACACACAGGGGTAAGACTGCCTAGAGGATGACAAGTGCCATGCTGGAAAGCAGTTGGTTCCTTTTTGGTCTAGAGCCAGGATCTCAGCCTCAAGTCAAGGCTTTCAAGAATTCACTTGTAGAAGTGAAACTCAGAGACCACATAGAGAACTTCACTACTCCTGGGGGGCCCATGAAATTTATCTTGCACTGAGCTGCTTCTGTTTAAAATGCCAGTTTGCAGATATCCTAGTTATAAAAACAATATATGCAGAGCAAAGGGACTTAACTCAAGCAGGTCATCAACCACTTCTTGGGCAGGCAGAAAGGCGAAATCCAATCTGGACTCTGCCTACACCAAGCTCTAACACAGAGAGCTCTGTGGACAAGTTTACCTTCTTGGGTGATTTTGTGTCTTAATGAAAACCAGAGGAGGAAGGCCAAGTCCTTTATGAGGTCAAGCAAATGGGGGATGTAATTTCAAAAAGAAAAGGTGGGCTATCTCATTTGCACTAGAGACTTTTCTTTTCTAAATGGGTCCTACCCCACTGCTAAACATTATCAGAGTTGAATAGTTAAACCAGCTGAGAGGCCATTTCAGAATCCGTGAAGCTTTGAGTTGTAAATGGTGAGTTGAGATTGCATAGGCCTTCTAAAGACACTGAAAACACCTTCTAATAGCTCACCCTGGTACAGTGAGCTACCTCTCTCCACTTTAACATCCCAGAGTTGTAGTGTCCCTGGCAATCTTACCGGTTTCCACGAGTTCTATGGGCTCTGCTTCCAAGGAAATCTCGGGGGTGGAGGTTGCTTCCCGAGTTCGCTTCTGGGTTTGTCTAGAATTTATTGCTCCACCACGACGTTTTCTCTGAGTAGCAAGGGGGAAAGAATAGTCACATGAACACCAGAATGTCAGGGTTTCAGGAAGAACTAAAGGGGCAACAACAGAAACGGTTCACCTCATTAACAGGTCAGTGAGTAGACTTGAAGTTAGGGCTCCTCTCAAAACTTGAGATTCCAGAATACTGAATGCTTATATAGAGAGAAATCATCCAAGACATACAACAAGTAGAAATTCTAGAAAGTAAAACTTCTGTTTTATCAAACCATCAGCAGGTCGGCTTGGGGTGGTGGCTCATGCCTATAATCCCAGCACTTTGGGAGGCTGAGGCAGGAGAATCATGAGGTCAGGAGTTCAAGGTTAGCCTGGCCAACATGGTGAAACCCCATCACTACTAAAAATACAAAAAGTTAGCTGGGCCTGGTGGCAGGCACCTGTAATCCCAGCTACTCTGGAGGCTGAGGCAGGAGAATCGCTTGAACCCAGGAAGCGGAGGTTGCAGTGAGCTGAGATCACGTCACTGTACTCCAGCCCGGACGACAATGTGAGACTCCATCTCAAAAAAACAAAAACAAGCCAGGCGTGGTGGCTCATGCTTGTAATCCCAGCACTTTGGGAGGCCGAGGCAGGCGGATCATGAGGTCAGGAGATCGAGAACATCTTGGCTAACACGGTGAAACACCTCTCTACTAAAAATACAAAAAAAATTAGCCGGGCATGGTGGCGGGCGCCTGTAGTCCCAGCTACTTGGGAGGCTGAGACAGGAGAATGGCGTGAACCCGGGAGACGGAGCTTGCAGTGAGCTGAGATGCGCCACTGCACTCCAGCCTGGGCAACAGGGCAAGACTCCGTCTCAAAAACAAACAAAAAAACCCAAAAAACCAAAAACTATCGGCACGTCAAAAGGGACACGATGCATCCCTTTACAAAAGCTTCAGGGCAAGTCAGGATTTGGACTTGCCGTGGATGCCCTGGCCAAAAGGCTGGAAACCCTTCCCTTTAACCAAAAGTTATCAATTTCTCTTCCCTGACTTTGTGCCCAGCCTTTCTGAGCCCTTTTTGTTTCTTAGCATAAAGAACTTGGAGTTTTCTGAGTTTCTATACATTGTGGAAAGCTCATCTTCCCCTGGGAAACGTGGCCTTGAACCTTTCAGGGTATTATCAACTGTGATTCACACCAGACAATCATCCCCCACAAAGAACTCAGAGAACCAAACCTGTTTTAAGCCTGTTCCCAGTGGCTACCCAAGAGCCATGTCTTCTAGAAGGTTCAGGCTTTCAACTGGCTGATCTGCAACTGACGCTCTGACCAGCCTTTCTTCCAAATCCTTAGGCTGCCTTTTGCCAATATGCTCTAGCCATTTCTGGGCTGGCTGGTCCCAAAAGACGAGTTGAGAATACCCTCCACCTTAACCAAGAGACAGAGCCTCCCAACACAGCCTGTTGCCTTGTTATTCCCACTGTGTATTTCTGTGCTCTTCTCCCCTGTGCCCTGTCCTGCTATCCTTCACACTGGACCACCTGGACAAGTACTGCACTACTAAGTCTCAAGTTCCCCACCAGTACCAGCCTTGCAGAACTGTTATAAGGTCTGAATGAGATCATGTATGTAAAGTACTGCGTAGAGGTGGAATATGCTACTATCCCAATTCCTTAGCCTTACTAGGGTCAATCTGTCCCAGGAAACTCTGAAAGGACCAGATATTGCAAGTGAGATTCATACAAGATCTAGGAACACTCACAACCCAGCCAAGCCCACGCTAGGTAACAGGGATAAGCCTAATTATATCTGTGTTGCAATGCTACTCTTATCAAATGGCAGCTTGAGATGTTCTGGAAATGAAGCTGGGTCTAGCAACTTCCCACCGACTAAGGAGCACAAAACCAGCCCCAGGAGGGCCCAGAGGCCAAGTGACAGCAGCCATAATTCCCAGGTGAGCAGCTGCTCTTGGCCTCAAGGGAGCTGACAATAACCTCAGTGGAGTTCTACTGCCTAGTGTTTTAAGGGTTTCCCCAGCAGCCACTAGGTTACTTATGTAAAAAGTAGAGGCTCCTCTTCAAAGACTTTCCTCTCCATCTAATTACAAATAAATAGTAACTTCTCTTAAAAGCAAAATTTACTCAAAGACCTATACTAACATTCTTAAATATCTGCTAGCCATAATAAAGAAATCAATGTACTTTATATTCTTAGCTCCTACAATTTAGCCTAAATATTTACCCTAGCATGCTTATATTAGTCCAAGCAAGCATTAGATCATAACCTGTTTCTCTTCCTTATTTAAAAGTTATTTTTACCTTTCTCAGCATTCCATAAGTTACTTCCTCATTCCTTTATTCTCCTCTGCCTTTGCCTCTTTTATAAAGTTCTGGCCGGGCGCGGTCACGCCTGTAATCCTAGCACTTTGGGAGGCTGAGGTGGGCAGATCACGAGGTCAGAAGATTGAGACCATCCTGGCTAACACGGTGGAACCCCATCTCTACTAAAAAAATACAAAAAAAATTAGCCGGGCGTGGTGGCGGGCGCCTGTAGTCCCGGCTACTCAGGAGACGGTGGCAGGAGAATGGTGTGAACCCAGGAGGCAGAGCTTGCAGTGAGCCGAGATCACACCACTGCACTCCAGCCTAGGAGGACAGAGCAAGACTCCATCTCCCCTCCCCACCACACACAAAAAAAGTTGTAAGTTACTAACCAATTGGGACAAATACAGAATGTGAGGTCCCATTCCAGCCAATAAAAACCGGACACAGCAGTAGGGTATACACACCAAGTTATAAATAACCCTGTCTCCTTTATTCAATGTACTCTCACGGTAAAACTACTGGTGAGTGTACCCTTTCTGCAGAAAGTATAAAAATGGCCTTGCTGGCCGGGCGCGGTGGCTCAAGCCTATAATCCCAGCACTTTGGGAGGCCGAGACGGGCGGATCACGAGGTCAGGAAATCGAGACCATCCTGGCTAACCTGGTGAAACCCCATCTCTACTAAAAAAATACAAAAAACTAGCCGGGCGAGGTGGCGGGCGCCTGTAGTCCCAGCTACTCGGGAGGCTGAGGCAGGAGAATGGCGTGAACCCGGGAGGCGGAGCTTGCAGTGAGCTGAGATCCGGCCACTGCACTCCAGCCTGGGCGACAGAGCGAGACTCCGTCTCAAAAAAAAAAAAAGGCCTTGCTAAAAATATTAAATTTATGTTCAAATGCTATTTTTTTACAGCACCGGAAAACAAGCATTTCAAACACTTAGGACTCTTTAATATTTACCCCATTCTCAGGGATCACGAGGTCAGGAGTTCAAGACTAGCCTGGCCAAGATGCTGAAACCTTGTCTCTACTAATAACACAAAAAGTAGACGGGCCTGGTGGCATGCACCTGTAGTCCCAGCTACTTGGGAGGCTGAGGCAGGACAATCACTAGAACCCGGGTAGCAGAGGTTACAGTGAGCCAATATTGCACCTACTGCACTCCAGCCTGGGTGACAGAGCATGACCTCTGTCTTAAAAAGTCTGGCTCTGTCGCCCAGGCAGGAGTGCAGTGACACAATCTCAGCTTACTGCAACCTCTGCCTCCTGGGTTCAAGCAATTCTCCTGCCTCAGCCTCCCGAGTAGCTGGGATTACAGGCACCTGCCACCATGCCCAGCTAATTTTTTTGTATTTTTAGTGGAGATAGGGTTTCATCTTGTTGGCCAGGCTGGTCTCGAACTCCTGTGATCCACCATGCCCAGTCTGTAGCAGACCAAGTCTTTCTTACTAGCCACTGCTAAGCAGACCTTCATGTCCCACAGCTACCTGTGGTTTCTGGGCCCCACTGAGGGAGCCGAGAAAGCAGCCATGGGTCCTGGACCCCAAATCTCCCCTCATGGATAATTACAGGAATGTCCCCACCGCTCCCTAACCTCAGGAATCCTCTTTCCTGCCTGCTCTATCGACCCCTCCATGCCTTTATCCAGAGCTTCTTCCCTGCCTGGAGTACCCATCCCTCCCTTTCTTCACCTGGCCAATTCTTGCCCAGCTTTCCAGAACCCACTCAAATGTCACCTCCTTCCTGAAGACATCCTTCACCCTCCCACTCTGCTTTCTCTGAGCCCCCTCCTCCCCCCAAGTAGCTTCCCTGCACCACTCAAGACAGGCTCAATAAATCCAGGAATATCTGCAGAACTCTCCCCTCTCACCCTCCCGTAATTCTGGTCATAACTCTTCTTCTTTTTACTAGCAGGGCCCTCAGAGGTCCATAGCTTTTGGTGAAAACTGACCATCCAATCACAACCACATAAGCTATAACCACACCATAACTTTCAGGAATTTTAACCAATTTCTTCACACACACACACTCACAAAAAGCTACATTGTTTTGCCTGTTCTGATCCAGCCTAAGCAGAGATGGGGCTTCAGAGGTAAGGCTTAGAGCACCTATTTCCCTATAGGTGAGCTATGTGGTAACCTGCAGGTGAAGCACCAAGGTGGGAGGTCAAAGAAGCAGGCTTTTTTGTGTATCACCATCAAAAGTGGGTCCTGGAGCAAAATGGGGGCCAGGAATGGCCAGGAAGTAACAGAAGAGGGTGAGCACTCAAAGGACTCAGAGGGTGTGACCAGCATTTCCATGACCGTTCCCTCTGAGAGCTGTTTGTTCAGCCTCATCCTGCCCCCACCATCCATCTTCCCATACCATTCACAGCATCTCTGGAGCACTGGAAGAAATCAGCAGGCTATTTCACATCTGGTCTGACAAGGAATTCAGGATCTCAGACAACAGTTGCTTTAGAGTTTAGATCATTTAAACCACCGTGCAGTGGGAACTCTATCAGTAGGGAATAAACTGGGACAGGGGGACCTTCAGGCAATCTCCTCTAGAGCTCAAGGGGTTCCACGTGATACCTGAATTACACCAAACCAGAGCTGCCTTACAGATGCGATAAAAGCTCTCAACAGTCTGGATATGGTCACTCACTTTGGGAGCCTAGGTGGGAGGACTGCTTGAAGCCAGAAGTTCAAGATCAGTCTGGGCAATAAAGCAAGACTCCATGCCTACAAAAATTTTTTTTTTTTTGAGATGGAGTCTCACTCTGTCCCCCAGGTTGGAGAGCAGTGGCGCAATCTCAGCTCACAGCAAACTCTGCCTCCTGGGTTCACGCCATTCTCCTGCCTCAGCCTCCCGAGTAGCCAGGACTACAGGTGCCCACCACTGTGCCCAGCTAATTTTTGTATTTTTAGTAGAGACGGGGTTTCACCGTGTTAGCCAGGATGGTCTTGAGCTCCTGACCTTGTGATCCACCCACCTTGGCCTCCCAAAGTGCTGGGACTACAGGTGTAAACCACCACGCCCAACCAATATTTTCTTAAAAACTAGCCAGGTGTGACGGTGCATGCCTATGATCCTAGCTACCCAGGACAATGAGGTGAAAGGACTGCTTGACTCCAGGAGTTGGAGACTGCAGTGAGCTATAATCACACCACTGCACGCCAGACAGGGAGACAGATAGAGACCCTGTCTCTTAAAAACAAACAAAAACTGCTGGGCACAGTGGCTCATGCCTGTAATCTCAGCACTTTGGGAGGCCAAGATCACTTGAGGTCAGGAATTTGCCATCACACTGGCCAATAAGGTGAATTCCCGTCTCTACTAAAAATATAAAATCAGCTGGGCATGGTGGTAGGTGCCTGTAATCCCAGCTACTCAGGAGGCTGAGGCAGAAGAGTTGCTTGAACCCGGCAGGCAGAGGTTGCAGCGAGCCGAGATAGTGCCACTGTACTCCAACCTGGGCGACAGAGAGAGACTCCATCTCAAAAAACAAACAAAAATAGCCTGGCCAACATAGCAAAAACTGTCTCTATTAAAAATACAGAAATCAGCTGGGCAGGGAGGTGCACGCCTGTGATCCCAGCTATGTGGACGGTTGAGGCACAAGAATCACTTGAACCCAGAAGGTGAAGGTTGCAGTGAGCCAAGATCGGGCCACTGCACTCCAGGCTGGGTGATAGGGCAAGACCCTGTTTCAGAAAATAAACAAAAGCTCTAAACAGTCATTATAATGACGAATCAACTTTGGTCACAGAATATAAGAAACTTTTCACTATGGATCATTACTATCATGCTCACAATGAATGAACCAAGAACGTCACAGGGAAACAAAATGGAAGGAAAAATGGAAAACTGGGTGGAAAGACTTTTATAGAGTCAGGGTCTCACTCTGTCATCCAGCTGGAGTACAGTGGTGTCATTATAGCTAGCCTTGAACTCTTGGGCTCAAGGAATCTTCCTGCCTCAGCCTCCCAAGCAGCTGGGACTACAGGGGCACCCCACCACGCCTGGCTCAATTTTTTTTGTTTATTTGTTTGTAGAGATAGGGCCTATGTTGCCCTGGCTGGTCCTAGGCTCAAGTGATCTTTTTACCTTAACCCCTCCCAAGTGTTGTGATTACAGGTGTGAGCCACCATGCCCAGTCTACAAATAATTTTAAAAAGCAAAAAGTCTTAGTATTTCTATGACACTGACAACTGCTGTGAAGGTCTGAGATTACCAAACCCTAAGTTATTCCTTCTTAGCCTTTTGTCTTCTGGACACTGCCCTTTATGACTGGAATTTAGTTCAGTGTCGATAAGTGAGCTGATGTAACTACCAGAAAGATCCTATACACACTCCTTCAAGAAGTGGGGCTACTTTGAAGTGCCATTATGGAACTCACTTTCATTCATGTGCTACAAGGAAGAAGGTAGTTAATTAGCCCTAAAAAATCACAAATTCAAGAGATAAAACTTACTGTACTCATTGTGCTCTTTGGTGCCAACCTACAGAAAAGGAAGTGATCTATACCAAGGTTTGCAGGGAAGTCAAATGTTCTCAACCTTTCATGCCGTCTGGTTACTCATCTGGCTTGCAAAAGAATTTGGATCCGGACAGATTTCCAGTATTTTCAAGTCCTGAAAAACAAAGATACTGATTTGATAAATGCTGCCACTTACATCACTGAAACAAAGCTCAGCTCAATAATGTACTGGTCCTTTCTGTCCCTAGGTTCTTTGCTGAATATGTTACGCAATGACATCCTTAATTCTATATTCATCTTAGGAAGCAAGTATTCTTGTTGCATATAGGACTTCCTGATCCCAAAGTCTGCAACTGTAATTATTATGCTACTTCCTTTCTGGCTCCTGACATCTCAGCAAGGTACTGTGCTAACGCCTGGAAAGAGGTGCAAGTCAGGACTGCCACACACGACCACACCAACTCCTCAGTAACCGTAACCGGAAGGGAAGGGACAGAGCTTCTGAGGCCAAACAGAGCTCAGAGCCTCAGGCTCTTCCCACAATTTCATTGTCGCCATCTAGAGTCGAGGAGACAAGAGCCACTCATTCTAAAGCACGCTGTGTGTCCAGCTGAGACTTATCGCTGGGACCAGGCGAATGGTGAACCAGGAGACTGTGGACTAGGAAGCCAAGTAAAAGCTTTGAGCAAAGGCAGAGAAATCACCAGATGCAGAGGTTGAGAGGCCCTTGGATTTCACTGAGAAGTGAGGCTGAACACGGTAAACTCAGTGTCAGCAATGCAGTGGGTAATGGAGCCACAAGCCCTGAGCACAGGACAAGGCTGAGGGACTAAGAGACAGCCAAAGCAAGGACAAGACCCTTGTGGTCACCCACTGCTGGGTGCTAGCGGCTTAAATTAGGAGAGTGCTTCTCAAGCATGAGCCTATATCAGGCTCCCCCAGAGGGCTTGTTAAGCCCAGGCTGCTAGGCCCTCCAATTTAACAAGTTCCCAGGTGCTGCTGTTCCAGAGACCACACCATGGTACATACTGAAGTAGCATAATGGGATGGAGTTGCAAAGCAGATACAGGTGAAAGGAATCCAGGTGGCGGAAACAACAGGAATGCTCTTCATATCCACCCTCTGTGCATCCCCAGTGCTGCTGCCGTGTCATCCTTCTCTGCACCATTACCATGCCTGTTCATGCTGGGTCTCCTGTCCCTGGGTGCCCATCTACCCTACTGCCAGGCCATCTTTCCAAAACATTTGCCACAGCAACTTTCCCTGGCTCCTTATCAAGACCTAACTCCTAAGCATGGTGTGTGGAGCCAGGCTGGCACTGCAATCAGGGCACATCTCTTGAGCCAGGCAACTGGGATTGAAATCCAAGCACCGGCTGGGTGCGGTGGCTCACACCTGTAATCCCAGCACTCTGGGAGGCCAAGGCGGGTAATCTGGGAGGCCAAGGCGGGTGGTTACCCGAGGTCAGGAGTTTGAGACTAGCCTGGCCAACATGGTGAAACCCCATCTCTACTAAAAAATACAAAAAATTAGCCGAGAGTGGTGGTGGATGCCTCTAATTCCAGCTACTCTTGAATTAGGCAGAAGAATCTCCTGAACCTGGGAGGTGGAGGAGCTGAGATCATAGCATTACACTCCAGCCTGGGCAACGAGAGCCAAACTCCAAACTCCATCTAAAAAAAAAAAAAAATCTGGCCGGGCGCGGTGGCTCAAGCCTGTAATCCCAGCACTTTGGGAGGCCGAGATGGGCGGATCACGAGGTCAGGAGATCAAGACCATTCTGGCTAACACGGTGAAACCCCGTCTCTACTAAAAAATACAAAAAACCAGCCGGGCGAGGTGGCGGCGCCCGTAATCCCAGCTACTCAGGAGAATGGCGTGAACCCGGGAGGCGGAGCTTGCAGTGAGCTGAGATCTGGCCACTGCACTCCAGCCTGGGTGACAGAGCAAGACTCCGTCTCAAAATAAATAAATAAATAAATAAATAAATAAATAAATAAATAAATCCAGGCACCTGAACCCCAACCTGTGACCTTGGGGCATGGCACTGAACTTCTCTGTGCCCCATTTCTTGTCTATAGAACAGAACTGCACCTACCTCAATGGTGTGTGAGGATTTCAGAAGTTATTAGAAGAGAGTGTTTGGAGCAGTGCAGACACACTGTAAAGGCCCAGGGTCTGTGGGCTGACACATACCCATCACCACACTCAGCCCCACAGCACAGGCTGACAGTCTCTCCAAATTCACCTTCCCAGTGCCCAGCTCCAACCTTCTGCTCAAGCCCTAAAACGCTGTGTGATATCACACCCCACTGTTTTATTTTTTATTTTTATTTTTATTTTTTTTTTTTGAGACGGAGTCTCACTCTGTTGCCCAGGCTGGAGTGAGTGCAGTGATGCAATCTCAGCTCACTGCAACCTCCACCTCTCAGGTAGATGGGATTACAGGCGTGTGCCACCACACCCAGCTAATTTTTCTACTTTTAGTAGAGATGGGGTTTCACCAGGTTGGTCAGGCTGGTCTCGAACTTCTGACCTCAGCTGATCCACCTGCTTCAGCTTCCCAAAGTGCTGGGATTACAGGCATGAGCCACCACGCCCGACCTCCCACCCAGCTTTAAGAAGGGGCTGCATACCTCCCTGCCTTATTCATAGTGGGGATGTAGAAATGCAGAAATGTAGAAATACATAGTGAATGGAGACCTTAGGGGTCATGGGAAAGTAGCCCTCACCATCTACAAAGGGTTCTGGATCATGTAGGTGAGAGTCCAGTGGAATAAGAAAACTAACAACAGCTGAGATGTGCCTTCTATGCATCTGCACAAGGCACTGTGCTTCCCAAATATTACCACATGTGCTCCTCGTATCACCCGGTAAGGAAACAGGCACTGTTATGGTCCCCATTTTACATATGAAGCAGCTAAGGATTAAAGTTAAGTAACTTGCCCAAAGTCGTCCACACCTAGTAAACAGAGCCTAGACTTAAACCAGGGCAGTCTGACACCACAACCCGCACCCTCAAATAGATATGTTAGTGCCGGAATCAAATACATCAATTCTAGAAACTAGCTGGAACACTGATGGTGATTTTTCAGATATCTCAAATTTAGTGTGTTCCAAAAGGAACCCATGCCTCCTCCTTCCGCCAACATACACTCCATTTCAGGAAAGGGCCCCACCATCCTCCAGCCTCTCGTCCGGGATGCTCTCACTTACACAAGTGCTACGGGACAGGGCTCGATTTACTTTGTACCTAGCTAAGACCTTACACAAAGCAGATGCTCACATTTATTGAAGGAATAAATGAGGGTAAGAGTGGGGTGCTGATGGCACCCCCGCCACTAAGAAAAGAGGAGCTGGGGTAGAGAAGTGGTCATTCCTGACTGGGGATGGTCACGAGAGCCAGATGCTAGGAATTCCTAAAGTTCCAAGGTGAAAGGAGAAACAACTCATGTCAAGGTTATCCAGCTTCTTACCCTGCAAGAGTGATACCACAAAACCCAACGAGGGAAGGGAGAATAGAAACAGGAGCTGAGTGTAGTTTTAGAAAAGGAGGGTGTGAGATACCCAGGGAGAAAGGGCCGAAGGTAGCTGGAAACTCAAGAGTGAGAACTGGGATGGACGTAGAGATTTCAGAATGTGTGAAAACTTGGGGAAGCAGGTAGATAGAATCTGTAAAAGAGAATTCAAAAGAAACAAAGCTAGGATAACCTGGAGCTGTCACTTAGACAAAACCCCCTTCTTCAAGGAGGAAGAAGCAGTGAACAGCTGCAATGCACAGGCTGAGGAACTAAAAGGCAGCCAGTGAGCTCAGACACGGAAGTGGGACACGGTGACCTAAGCAAGTGGAAGCAGCAGCAAAGGAGTTGCAGTCCCAGCCTAACTGCACTGAGGATCAAGCTGGGCTGTCTAGAGGAAGTGGCACTGAATGGGGCCTAAAGTGACAGGAGGTGTTAGTCAAGAAACAATGTATGTGGGTGGGGTGGGCAGAAGGAAGAGGGATGTCCCAGACAAGCACTGTGTGGAGGTGGGGAGAGAACTGAGGACAACAAAGGTGCCGAAGAGAACAGATGGGAGACTGAACAAGTCAGACGGGAGACCAAGGAGGAGATTCAGGGTAGACCAGGTGTGAAGAAAGCCGTGAGGCTCAGGGGTAGTGACAGAGTATAGGACAGAGAGGTGACTGACAGGGTGGAAGTTGGGGGGGCTTCAGGGCTTTCTTCATTCTTATAGATTATTTAAGGTCTACGTAACTATTCTCTTATTCTTAGAGGATCACCCCCACATAAAGCTATTATAAGCACTTCAGATATTGACCCCCCCAACTCTAGCAGGAGTATGACATTTAATTATGTATATTTATGGTATATATGTATATGATGTGCAGATGCTCCTTGACTTACAATGAGGCTAACTTCCAATAAATCTTAAGTTGAAAAATCCTAAATAAAACACTGTAAATTGGCCAGGCGCAGTGGCTCACACCTTATAATCCCAACACTTTGGGAGGTCGAGGTGGGCGGATCACAAGGTCGGGAGACAGAGACCATCCTGGCTAACACGGTGAAACCGGGTCTCTACTAAAAATACACAAACTAGCCGGGCGAGGTGGCGGCGGCGCCTGTAGTCCCAGTTACTCGGGAGGCTGAGGCAGGAGAATGGCATGAACCAGGGAGGTGGAGACTGCAGTGAGCCGAGATGGCGCCACTGCACTCCTGCCTGGGCAAGAGTGCGAGGCTCTCTCTCAAAACAAAACAAAAAACAGCCGGGCGCGGTGGCTCAAGCCTGTAATCCCAGCACTTTGGGAGGCCGAGACGGGCAGATCACGAGGTCAGGAGATCGAGACCATCCTGGCTAACACGGTGAAACCCCGTCTCTACTAAAAAGTACAAAAAACTAGCCGGGCGAGGTGGCAGGCGCCTGTAGTCCCAGCTACTCTGGAGGCTGAGGCAGGAGAATGGCGTAAACCTGGGAGGCGGAGCTTGCAGTGAGCTGAGATCCGGCCACTATACTCCAGCCTGGGCGACAGAGCCAGACTCCATCTCCAAAAAACAAAACAAAACAAAACACAACACAAAAAAACCCCACTGTAAGTCAGAGACTGTCTGTGTATTCGTATGTGCATGTGTCTCTATCATATATAAAAGAGTCTGC